GGTCAGTGATGGGGTTCAGCCTGGCTTCAAAGCTGCCCCAGTCTCGTAACATCCTGGGCTTCTTCCTTGCCTACGTCCAACCCCAGCACCTTAGCCATAGGGAAATACTGCCCCCCCTCCCCCGCCACATCATGTCTTGGGGTGTTATTCCTGGTGCTTTAGATTGCAGGGGCAGCTTCTCATGACACTCGCAAGCTAAGTCTAAAAGCTTCAGAGGAGTAGCCAAGTTAGTCTGTAACTGGAAAAACTTAAAAACCAACAAATTATTCATTGTTTTTTAAGTCAAGTCTAGTCGCTCTTTGGCACTAGTGCAGCAAGTTCATAGTTCTCAGCCACAACTGCCTGGCTCTGAGTAGCAAACCCAGCAGGTCCCCAGCTCTGTTATCCCCATTCGCCCCCCTTCCCGGCCCAGTATCTCACATCACTGCAGGGTGCAAGGGGTAACTTTATTCCCTGTGTCAAACTCTCTCTCTCACCGTTTGAATCTTGCACTCACCATCTGTGTGTGTGCTGAGACACACCGATCAGGGTCATGGTACAAAAATCTCATGACAAAAGGTTAGATACAAATGAAAGTGAAATAAAATCTAAAACAGGACTATTCTGGCAAATGATCATTGGTCTCCGGAAGTCCTCAATAAATCCAAGCTACCGCCTGTCAAACTAAATTAATATCAAAGGATGTGGCCTAATTAACAGCCATCACAAAGAGAGAAAAACCCACAGTCCAAGGTGGGCTATCACATGCTGTCCCATTCATAAAGTGAAATCTCAGAGACTCCTTTAAGGCTCAAATATCAGGAAAATAAATGTACCCGTTTTCTTCTGAAGTGACGAAATTGGCTTCACTTCTCGCCTTGTTATTTGATTCTATCAGTTGCAAAAGTTTTAGCATCATTATAATAAAAGAAAGAGAAAGAAAGACGAATCTTCCTATTTACAAATGATCTGGATTAGGCCTAGAAAAAGTCAGGAAGCAATTTTACCAGTGGACAGAAACAGAGGCTATAACATCTGAAAAGTCAAAATGTGCTGTGAGATTCATGTCCCAGGTCTGTGACACTTCCTTCTCCAGCCCTTAGGAGTCTGGACTTGGGATCACGGAGGTGAAAAATTTGATTCCTAAGCATGGAGAGCGGGGGATTTCATTCACCTTGGGAGGCGGAGGAGTAGAATGAGGACGGGATGAAACTCTCGATCACTTGGACAGATGGTACAGAGCAAAGAGTGATGGTGATAGGGGAAGGAGGGTGTCCCTCGGACTCAATGCATTGCCCTGAAATAACACCGAAGCTAAAACAGCACGTTATTTTCCCTGCCCCCCATTTATTTAGTATCTAGTTAATTCAGTTTAGTATTTAGTTAATTCAGTCCAGGTGGGCACCGCATTTCAAGAAAGATGTGGAGAAATTGGAGCAGGTCCAGAGAAGAGCAACAAGAACAGTGAAAGGTCTAGAAGAGAACATGAGCTATGAGGGAAGACTGAAAGAACTGGGCTTGTTTAGTTTGGAAAAGAGAAGACTGAGAGGGGACATGATAGCGGTTTTCAAGTATCTAAAAAGGAGCCACAAAGAGGAGGGAGACAAATTGTTCTCCTTGGCCTCTGAGGACAGGACAAGAAGCAATGGGCTTAAACTGCAGCAAGAGAGGTTTGGGTTGGACATTAGGAAAAACTTCCTAATTGTCAGGATGGTGAAACACTAGAACTGTGTTTCTTAAACTGTGTTCCGCAGCATGAGGGTGTGCCTCAAGGCAGTCGGAGATGTGCCGAGGAGAACAACACAACTCAAAGTGGCCACCCTTAAAGGGGCAGGCAACTTTTTTTTTTTTGCTCAGTAACTTTCCCCCAACCCTTTTTTCCCCTCAATAACTCCCCTCCCACACACACACCCTCTCCCCCCCGCCCCGACATCCTTTTGTTTTTCTCTCTCAACCAAAAATCCTTGGTTTTTCGCATAAAAAAATTGTTTGGTGTTCCTCAGTCTTAAAAAGTTTAAGAAACACTGCACTACAATAAATTGCCTAGGGGGGTTGTGGAATCTCCATCACTGGAGATATTTAAGAGCAGGCTGGACAGACACCACTCAGGGATGGTCTAGATGATGCTTGGTCCGGCTCTGAGAGCAGGAGACTGGACTCAATGACCTCTCAAGGTCTCTTCCAGTTCTGGTGTTCTACGATTCTATGAATTCTGGCCCATAAGGGAGAAAAGCTACAAACACTCAACGCTTTTCAGCAGACCTGGAGAAATGTGAGACTATCTGTGGGGGTTCCTTGACCCCAAAGGGGGAACTCAAGGAGTAACGATCACTCTGCTAATCAGAGACAGTCAGACCACATCAGGAAGGCTACAACTTTCCTACCCCCTCGCCGAAGGCACGGAAGCTGTAACTTCCAAAGACCTCGGAAACTTCAGCTATTGGCAACTTCGAGTACCTGCGCCACACACTGCAGCTGACAGATGCGCCCCAGAGCTCTGAGTTACTGCAGGGGTACACCACAGTTCCCAGATGGCAGAGATGGTGGGGGGGCTCTGAGGAACCCCCCCATATCGAAGATGTCCCGAGAGTTCACTGCCGGGCCCATCCAGCTGCTCAGCTGTCACAGGACAGCAAAGATGAGCTGTGGAGCCTACCCCCTACCCATTTTGTCCTGTATTTTATTAGTAAAAATCACAGATGGGTCTTGGCGTTCCATGCATTTTTCTTCATGGCCCATGACCTGTCCGTGAGTTTCACTAAAACTATCCATGACAAAAATGTTAGTTTTGTATGCGAAATTCTCACGATGTTTACCCAAGAACATCTGGCATAGGGATCAGAGTGCTGCATTTCCTACCCGACACCCGCTCGGAGACTCATGCTGGTGGAGGCAGCGGTGGGATCTCCAAGCCTCCCACCAAAGGCCTCGTGGGAATCAGCCCCTCTCAGTGGTGCTCTCAGAATGCCTAGGGGGCAGAGGGAGAAGAAGCAGCATTTTGCTCCCCCTGTGCTCTCCCTTGCCTCTTATTCCTTGATCCCCAAATACTCAATAGCCCCAGCTGCCAGCTCTCCTAGCCCCCATCATTCACTCCCGTTTCCTCCCCAGAACCTATCGCCCTGGTCCCATAATATTTGACTCCCCCAGATCCCAGCATCCTAAGAGATTCAGGTAGGAGAGGAGTTACTAGACCTAGGGACACTCCCCCTGCAGGGAACAGCCCCAGGTCAGTGGGAAAGTCGAACACAGTGGATGGTGGAAAACAGGGGATGGGGACAAGTGTCCAGAGTGAACCTGAGCCCTGGCCCCAGTGTCCTTCTCCTCATCTCCATGGCAGGGGCATCCTGGCAGGGAAGGGAGAGGGAGATGGAGGGGGCGGACTTCAGCCAGGCAGAGGGAACATCTGGAGGAATTTCTCTCACTTCCCCCACCTCAGCAGCTCAGCAACTAGGGCTGCAGCAGGGAGGAGGGGCTGATGGGGATTTGCTGAGAGCAGGCAGAGCCACAGAGTCATTGTCCAGCTGCTGCTGGATCCGCAGGAGCCCCATGCCCCTGATGTGCGTGGGAACGAGGGGATGGGTCTATCACCATGGCCAGCCCTAGTCAGGTCCCTGAGAGAATTTCCCTGCATTGCAGGGGAAGTCTCTGATGTCCCATATGGTGTGAGCTCCACTTGGAGCATTTTCCACACTGAGAATTCTCTCCGAGATCACTTCCCTGCATGGATTTGTGGGTGTCTGATACTCTGGGAGCACCGAACA